GTAGAAATAACAAGACTTGAAGAATTTGGAACTCAGTTTTTTTTTAAATTGGAAAAAATAAAATATGGAAACTTTCAAAAAAAGAAATAACAAAATTTAGCAACTAATTGGACATGGGGAGGGGTGGGCAAGAGAGAGTGTGGAATCAGTCAGCAGTATTTATTTAAATACTTATGATGTGCTGGCACCCTGCTAAGTGCTTTAATTATTTGCTTTGTTTCTGATGAGATTGAGTGAAGGCCAGTTACAAAATGGAGTTTGTTTGGTGTGGAAATCAAAAGAACCAATTAGGCTCTATCTTAATATAAATTTATTTATTTTGTTTTCAACATTCACTTCCACAAGTTTTTGAGTTCCAAATTTTCACCCCATCTCACCCGTCCCCCCAACCCAAGATGGCATGTATTCTGAATATCCCTTCCCCTAGTCTGTCCTCTCTTCTATCTCTGCCCCCCCCACTTCTCTTCTATTTTCCTGTAGGGCAGGATAGACTTCTGTATCCCATTTCCTGTATTTCTTGTTTCCCAGTATAGGCTCTATCTTACAAATGCTGATTTCATCTTGTGCTGCCACATATTCTCCCCCATCTTACTGCAAATCATCCATGGGAAACTAGGTGGTATATAAGCCATCTACTGTTTCATAAATGCAAGTAATACCTCGAAACAACCATGGAAGGTGGGTACTGTTATCATTCCTAATTTATAGTTGAGGAAACTGAGACAGACAGAGGTCAAGCAATTTGTCTAGGGTCACACAGCTAGTCAGTGTTGGAGGCTGGATTTGAATTCTGCCCTTCCTGACTCCAGGCCCAGAGATCTAATCCACTGCCCTTGAAGCTGACTCTTCAAGGGATTCCTGTTAAGATCTAAATTAGAATGGAGGGCCTCTAGAATCCCTTCCTTCCTTGTTCAGTTGTTTCAGCGTGGCATAGTAGAAAGCATGTTGGATCTGGAATCAGAAATTTTTTGTTGTTCAGTCATTTCAGTCAGTTCAACTTTTGGTGACCTCATTTGGGATTTTCTTGGAAAAGATACTGGAGTGGTTTGCCACTTCCTTCTCCAGTTCATTTTACAGATTAGGAAACTGAGGCAAACAGAGTTATTTACATTATTTACCATATACCTAACTCCTCAGGAATCCAGGCAATTCCATGCAGCAAATTTATACATTGTTGTTTTTCAGTCATTTGTACCTGTTCAAGTCTATGTGACCCAATGGACTTTGTCTATGGGGTTTTCTTGGCAAAGATTACCATTTCCTTCTCCAGTGTGTCCCCATTTTACAGATGAGGAACTGGGGCAAATAGGGGGTTAAGTGACTTGCCTACAGTCATACAGCTAGTAAGAATCTGAGGCCAGATTTGAACTTAGGAAGATGAGTCTCCCTGACTCCATCCACTTTACCATCTAGCTTCTCTGCTCCAAATATTTTTTTCAACTCCAGTCTCATTCTACCTTCATACCCATCCTGGGCATCATTCAGAGATTTCTCTGCAAATCCATTAGTAGAAAGATTTGGGAAGATTCCCATTGAAAAACTCCTGAAATATGTGGACTTTAGAAGGAGCACTTTTCAAGGGGGGAAAATAGTGATTTTGCTTTTTTTATTTCAAGTACCTTCCACCCTAATTCAGACGCACATAAAAAAAAAAAGAGGTTATCTCTATACTGATGAAGCAATCCAAAAATCACCAAGGAAACCCCAAATGAGAACTATGAAATGTGAAAAACACATCTTTCTTCACTACCTAAACGTTGGGGATCTATTTAAAGGATGGTGGTGGCTTTGGGTGTGGAGGCTTAGAGTATTTCCTTTTAAGCAGCCATTTCTTGTCTTAGCTTGATGAGTGCTTCAAAAACCTGTTTATCTCTAAACTGTTATTTTCCTTCCTACAATTAGCCATTTTGAAAGATCTTTGAGAGTTCAGTCAATCTCAGTGTCATCTGAATGAGCTTTGTGGATTCTATTCACTTTTTACAGACGCTCAAATTACTCAAAGGAACTGGTGATCTCATTGATCTGGGAGTACCTTCCCATAATAAAGAACACAACTCATCTTTGTCTACCCATCCTGAGCTCTGCTTGTTCAAAGTCTTCCCATTACTTCCCCACAGGGGTCCACCCAACATACTGGCACCTTACCTTCATTTCTCCTGATATCACCAGGATAAAACTAAAAATTTTTTTTCTTATTAGAGCATAAACTAGTTTGAGATAATGGAGTGCATGTCAGGACTTTAAAAGTCAGTAATCCAAAAATCAGGGTTTTTTTAAAAAATCTGTACATTTTGAAATTTTGAAAGTAAAACAATGAAAATATTAACATGTAATAGAAACATGAGAATTATGCCAATCAGAAAGATTCATGGACATCTTTTTTTTTAAAGCAAAAACAGACATTTCTATAGAAACAAAGGTGGGGGGTGGAGGTGGGGTTAAGTGATTTGTGAAGAGTCACATACCTAGAATGGGTAAACCAAAACTCAAAACTTGGGTCTTCTAATGCCAAGGTCACTCTAATTTTCATTATGTCATAGATGATTCAAGGTGGAAAGGGGATCACCTAGTCCCACCCCTCATTTACAGCATTCACATCCCCCCAACTTGGGGGGGTGGTAATTCATTTTTTATGATCTTGCCCTGGATTTGAGAGTAAATATCTTTACCTCAGCCCCCCCCCCATCTAGCAGGCCCCAGACTATGCTTCATCCTATCCAGCCACAACCAAGACTCCAGGCCATCAGTGAAGGCATCTTGGTGTTGCTTCTGCCATCATACACCAAAACCACCCGATCCCCCTGCTTTCCACCTCTTACTTAGGAAATAATACAGTCAATATTGCTGTTACATCCACTGGCTGATGGCCATCAAACCCTAACCCCTTGAGAAAGGCATTGGCTAGCTTTTGCATTTGTATTCTCCTTTCTAGCCCAGTATTTGGCACAGGTAAGACACTTAATGTTTGTTCCTTGATTGACAAAGTAAGGGAAGCCAATAGAAGGGAAAAAATTTCTCCCAGGTCACACAGTGATTTTGGGGGCAAAGCCAGGAACAAAACCCAGGTAATCTCTTCTTAGGCTTTATACTTTAAATTATGCCCTAAGCATTAGCTTAAAATCTTTCAAAATTAATTATATTTCCCTTCTTCAAAGGAGTTTTGATTTTTTTAAACTTTTTTTTTAAAGATTCAACTTGTTTTGTTTGAAGTTATAGTTGTGGAATTTGGACCAAGGCCTTAATATCCAAGACGGAAAGCTTCTTAATTTTAGGAAGGATATTGATGGAGTAAATCCAAACACTGTGACCAAGATCAAGAGGGAGTTAGAAAGCAAGCCATCCAAAGAGCCACTCACTGAAGGACGTGGGGGTACATAACATAGAAAAGAGCATATAGTGAAAGATACCACGTGAGTCAAGTATTTGAAAAGCAGTCATGTGAAAGAGATTATATCATTCTTGGGCCCAGTGGCCTGGGTTAAAAGCAATGGGTTTAAACTATAGGAAAGATTTCAGACAGGTGGTGCAGTGGACAGAGGGCTGGGCCTGGAGTCAGGAAGACTCATCTCCTTAAGTTCCAATCTGGCCTCAGACACTCACTAGCTGTGTGACCCCAGGTGAGTCACTTAACCTTCTTTGCCTCAGTTTCCTCATCTGTAAAATGAGCTGGAGAAGAAAATGGCAAACCTCTCCAATACCTCTGCCAAGAAAACTCCAAATGGGGTCACAAAGAGTCAGACACGATGGAAATCACTCAACAACAAAAAAGATTTCAGCTCCACATGAGGAAAAATTTCCTAACTAGAGCTAGTCCAAAGCAAAATGGGCTCCTTCAGCAGGGAGCTCTCCATCACTGGAGTCTTCTATAAGATTCCAGATGATATCTGTAGATATTGTAAACAAGCCTTCTTTTTGAGGTACAGGATGCACTACTAGCCTGAGGTATCTTCTTAAGTCTGAGATCCTGATTCCCAGGGGTTCAGATTTCGTTCTATCTTTTCCCTCATCTAATGGTTCTGGATAGATGAGGAAAAGAACTGTGTCAGGGAAACTGCAAAAGTCTTTATTTTTTCCCTTTGCCATTAATGCAAAACTGAAGGCAATGGCCTGTGAACTGGCTGGCACACACCCAATGGTGGTGCCCGTGACAAAAAAAGGATAGCAAGGGAAAAACTGGCAAAGTAAGGGAAATTGAAGGGACCTCAAAGGTTTCCATCCAACAATTATTTCCTGTAAACATTTGATTTGAGACAGTTTCCCTTACAGACTAAGAGAGGGAAATAACCAATTCAAAACCTCCTGATCTTACCAGCAAAAATCCAGTTCATATCCTGGCTTTGGAGACACTGACCAGATTCCTATACTTTAATAAGAAATGTAAAAGAATTAAGGAAGAGATTGAAGAAAATTGACCTTATTAAGTATTATGTTTCTACATTACTAGGGAAACTTAAGACCCAGATAATAAAATGGAGAGGCAGCTAGGTAGCACAGTGGATAGACTGCTGGGTCTGGTTTCAGGAAGACTCATCTTTGTGAGTTCAAATGGCCTCAGACACTTACTAGCTGTGTGACCCTGGGCAAGTCATTTAACCCTCTTTGCCTCAGTTTCCTAACATGTAAAATGTGCCTGAGAAGGAAATGGCAAACCACTCCAATATCTTTGCCAAGAAAACCCCAAATGGGGGTCATGAAGAGTCAGACATGACTGAAAAAAATGACTTAACAACTGAAAAGATAAAATGGACCTCTAGGTACAAATGAAATACACCAACCTTCCACTTGGGTTTATTTCTTTTTATTTACAGTTTGTGTTCAATGCAAATCAATTCCATAACATGAGAGTAGTTACTATGAATCAAAGCAAGAGGACACAAACACAATATACAAGAACCCCAAACACAGTACAGCATACAAAATAGAGCATAAAGGAGTGTTCATTCACACACACACAGTAGCTTGGGACACTTCTTGAATTAGGAGGTTTCTGGGTTGGCTACAAAGAACAGCAAACTTTCTTTGATTTTTTTATGAAGTTAGGATACTAATCATATTGGATATCTCAAATCTAAGCAACAGTGTGTGACCGTGTGAACCTAAAAAAAAAAAAAAAGGATTTCTTTAGAAGGTTTCAACATTGCAGCAATGGTGGGGGTTTTTTTGTTTATTTTTGTTTTATTATTAAAGCAGGAAAGCAGAAATATCTGCTTCCCTGAATGAGGCCAATGTTAGGCTTAATACCAGTTTCTATATCTAAAAATATTTAATGACGAGTCTCAGTTGTAAGCTACTCTGATTCACAAAGATTTTCTTTAAAAAAAAAGTATTTACAGAAATAGTATAAAAGATCTTGTGAACTTATAATGATGCAATTAAGCTCCCAGTCCTTACATTCCAAATACTCAATTTACCTTGTTGTTTGGCTTTTACACATTTGCCTCTTAATTTTGAGATTCTGAAATGATCAACCTTCACAATAGATCATTTTCAAAACTGTTAGCTATTTGACATATGCAGAAATAAAACAGCATTTGAAAGTTATTCAAGAGGTCGTCTATTTCAAAAGTCTTTGGAATTAAGGAAAGCAAGGTAGCTAATGAAATCTAACATTTTCTTAGATGAGGAAGTAATGGGAATGTCTACGTTTCTACAGAACATTACGAAAGCCAATTTTGCTCACTTTGCTTTCATTGTGGGAAGGTTCCAATCCATCATTGCTGTGGCACGTGTCATTTGTGATATAGCAATTTAAATGCTATGTCAAATCCAAAGCCCCAGAGTAAATAATTTATCTCTTCTGAGAATAGTGATACCTTAATGTTTTAAAACTTATCTAGAGTATATAGGCATTAAATTAGTACTGCTGACACACATGGAGAATTTACTACCAAAGCTTGATGATGCTTCTTTCACCATCCATATAAATAGAAACATGGAAGCTGTTTATACCATCTAATCATTTTATGGCTAACGAACCAAAGTGAAAACCAAGTCTCTTTTCCACACCTTTTTCCCTTTTCTGGACCAAGAGAAAAATCTACCCTTCTATTCCAATAGTAAGAGTTCTGGTTGTTCATAATTAGTGAATTTTTAATCTTGAATTAAGTGGATGCCATCTCTCTTCAGTCTTGTTCTTAGAAGTTCCAACTGGTTTAAACACTGAAATAAAAAGTCCAACATCATTCAGTCCCATGAAATCACACAGATCCTTCTCAAATTATTTATTCAACACGTGGGAAATTAGCCTGGGACCTTCTCTGGAACTGATGTGACAGTAAATTTAAAGGTATGGAAGTAGAGTGGGTGGGGTCAAGACATTGACTGTTGGTTTTGTTTCCTTCTGTGTCACACTGACTAGTAGATGCAGCCATCTCAGATGGTTCAGGAGGATGGGTTAGAGAAGCATTGCCATTGGCTTGACTGAGTCTCTTAACAGTAGAGATGTAGAAGGGAGAGTGAGAAGATGAAGAGGCTGGCAGTTGATTGCAGGGAATTTCCACTTCCTGTAGTAGTAGTAGTAGTAGTAGTAGTAGTAGAGTTGTTTTGTGACTGTTTAGTCACTGGCAGAGTAGTAGTGCTCACTGAAGTGTTGTTATTTAGACTTGGTGCAGTGGTTACATTTTCAGAATAAATCTGAAATGTATTTGGGGAGAGGGAAAGGTACATGGATAAATAAAAGATTCAATAAAAGAAATTCAGTCATAATAGGCAAAGTATGTTACTTAATAAACCTTTTAACAACAGAATTACCCAGTTATATTCTCACTCATTTTAGTTTTCAATTACCTGTGTCACAAGATTTGGGAGGGAAATCTACTCTTAAGTTAGAATTGAAGGGTACCATTTTCTACATGAGGGTTTTACAATCACCCCTATCGAGGCTGTCCATATAAATATAGTATAGAATGAAGACATCCTAAGGATTACTAAGACCTGTAGTTTAGTTTTTACCTCCTCTTTCATTTACTACTTGTGAGGCAAATCATTTAATTTCCATTTCCCCATCTCTGAACGTAAATAATGACTGTCTATCCTGCTTACCTCACTGGATTGTTGTAAAGGTTGTACACTGGGTTGTGCACAAGGAGTGCCTTGTATACAATAAATCAATATGTAAATATGAGTTATTGCTCATGATACCAATTATTTTTTCTAGAGTAGCATAACAAACAAAAAAAGCAAATGATGAATTATTTTCTAATTCTCAGTGTACTGATCAACTTATTTGGCAATATATATCTTCACTGAATGTCTTTTCTTAGACTCTCACTTCTCTCAGCAAACTAAAGGAAAGGTAATTATAGTACCTCATAAGTCGAATGTTGCTATAGTGTATGCACACACACACACACACACTCACTCACTCACTCACTCACAGTGAAAGGCAAATATAAGCATGAAGGGAAGCCCAGGTTATGAGCCTCATCATATTCATTGCTCATCTGCCTTTCACTGTGAGCAAATGGTAAGGATTTCATCTTAAATGTGCCAAAACTTGACCACTTGAAATCATGAAATTGCAACCTCCATTTAAAATAACCAAAACTAGTATTCCACCTATTTGGGCACTTTTCTGGATTCAAGATGATTGAGGTACAAATGCCCAAATATGACAAGTACTAGTCAGTGACTAGAAAGATTGTTATTTCCCAGGCATGAGCCAATGAAACATAGATCTAAGATTGTATTATCATAGGATGTCACTGGCCCCCTCTTTAATGTCACTAAATGAAGTCCACTGAGGCATGTGATAATCTTTCCATTGTCAGGGAACAATGCCAGATGCTTGATCATTTCTGAGATAGTATAGAAATTTTCAGTGCTCTGGCACTCAAGGCTTCCAATTACAGGAGGAAGAGAACAATGTCTCCAAGTTCCTAGAGTCAACTGGGGAGCTATAGGTACACTTTGGTTATTTATTAATCTAAGGAGAGAAAATCCTAAGGAGAGGACCTTAAATGTCCAGTCCAATTCTCACTTTACACAAAAGGAAAGGCCCAGAGCAAAAGTGACTTGCTCATGTCCATATAGCCAGTGAGAGCTAGGAAGAGGACCCAGGTGCTTTCCATTACACACACACCATCAGGATCATGTTTATTTAGTTATAAAGCAGATTAGCTCATTAAATAAACATTGACTAAATAAGCATACAAGTCCCAACGAAAAATAATTATCTTGATCAAAAAGTTTTCAAGTCTATCACCCTGGTTGATAACCCTTCTATAGACCCTTTGTGCAATGTTTTGTACCATGGTAAATATCACAGAGATAGGTAAGGAGTCTTTGAGATTTGTGAACAGTGATAAAAGTCATTATTCTCAAGTTAGCAATCCCTAAAGTGAATATAGTTTGAGTTACTAATGTTAATACCATAAGTCTTTTTACTTTAGCAGGTAATTCATTTCACTTATAAACCTCAATGCCCTATACCAATGTGTTATTACTATGATTCATCCAAGCAGCTGCTTATAATATCATTCATTTCTTTAATGTGTAATATTTCTTTGTAGCACGAAATGAAAACAGTCATGTACAATACCCTACATACTCTCTCCACTCACATAGCTTAGGGTAGTGATGTTAATATTAGTACAGAGCACTACTAATTCACCCTTGAGGCTAAAAATTAATATCTCCCCTTTACTAAAATCTTTTGTTTTAAAAAAGAGGAAAGGGGGCAGATGGGAACATTTCTGGAAACCTTTTCCCCTCCCCCACAGTAAAATACTAATGCTCCCAGGGCAGAAACAGCAGCCAAGAGAATCCAGAGAACAGGGGAAATAACAATAGGTTACAGTTACCCAGGTCCTCAGAAGGGGGAGCTCAAAAGGCTTCACACAGACAGGCTTTCAGTGAATGTTGTCCCAGGGGTGGGCATGGGCAGGTGTCATGTAAAAGGCAAGAAACTATGAACCCACTTCCCCAATTTTGAAAAACTTAGGTAGACTAGAGAATTCAGGGTACAGACACTAAATCCCCAAGACACTCCAATTCTCTGCTCTCCCTATCTCCTAAATCGAGACTCCCAGCTGTACTCAATTCTCTAGCCACCTCATCCTAACGCCCACCTAAATCACAGCTCCCAGATGTAACTCAATAAAGGGGACAGTGGACAAGGAAGGGGTTAGCCCATACACAACCAGGGCTGTTGGCATCCTTCTCGAGGGACTTGATTCCCGGGAAGCCCTCCTGGGGGAAAAAATAGATTAAGTAAGAGAGACAGAGGATATACTGTCCCCACAGAGCACCTGGTGGCACCCAGTGTAAACTCTCCCAAGACCATCCATTTCATTGTCCCTTACTTAGTCCTTAGTGGACTTCTAGTGTGATGTTTAAAGAATCCTAGATCTTGGATTAAGAGGACTTGGAGTTTCAATCCCAGCTACGCTATTTTATTAGCCATCACTTCAAATTTCTGGACTGTGAAATGAGGGACTAAGATTAGATGGTGTCTAAAGTGCTTTCTATCTCTAGTACTCGATACTACCCCAACTAAAGGCCCTCCCTTTTTTTCTATCCCGATTACATCGGTTTTTGGGGGGATCTTCAGATTTCTCCACCACACCCCGAAGCAGCCACCACAGCAGACAATACCTTGTAATTTACATTTCATTTCTCTTTTGGTTTCTCCGGTTAGGGCTTTGCCTAAACCATAACTACTCGAGGGCAGAAAAGAGAGTTTGCTCCCTATTCCCACCCAGCTCGATTAGGACTATCTCTCTCTCTCTATAGAACACGGTGCCTAGCACAGTGCTGGCCACGGAATAAGCGTTCGACAAAATACCTTTCATGTTTGAGCAATTCACCTGCACCCTCCAAGCTTTGGTAAAGAGGATGGACAGAGAAAAGGGTAGAAGGGTCCCGCTGGGCTGGAGGGTGGGAAGTCAGTTTTTAAAAGGCTCAAAAACAGCCTAGGGTTAGGACTGCAGGAGCGTGGAAGGCAGGAGAAGGGTAGGAGACGGGCAGTGTGGACTGAAAGAGCAGGAAGGTTCTGGTTAGATGCAGTTCAAGGCTAAGGGAGAGGGGAATTGGGAGATGGGGCAGGCGGGGACTGAGTCACGAAAATGCCCACCCACTCCACTCCCTTCTCATGGATCGCGCCAAGCTGGGTTCAGTGTTGTTTTTCTAGGTGGCAGGTCAAGGAAGGAGCCAGGACTAGAACAGTCTGCACTCATTCCCTCAGCATCCGGGGGGGGGGGAGTGGAGGTTGAAAAATTTCTGAAGGTCCTAGGTCCCATGGGATGTTCTGATTGGAGGATGAGGGTCCCGGGGTCCCAGGGTCGAGGTTCTACCGAAGACTGTGCAAAGGCAAGCTTTTCTGCCCAGGTTTGTGCGTGGGCACGCGCGTTAGCGCGCGGGGGGCAGGGGTAAAGAGGGCCGCGTCTTTGTGTGAGGACTGGCTGAGGCGCAAAGAATGGGGATTCCTCTGTGCAGGGGAAGAGGATCTTTCCTTGGGAACAGAAGGGGGCAGGCTCAGGGTAATGGGGAGGGGTCTTCGAGAGGTCTGGCTTCTCCTTAATGGCAGACGGGTGAGGCTTCTTTCTTTGGGAGGTGACGGGCTCAATCGGAGGTGCAGCGCTCTCTCCATATGGTAGCGCGCAGAGCCAGAGGGCAGTGTGGCCCAGAGCCGAATGGAGTGGGAAGGGTTGGGCGGGGCGGGAGGAGCAGGGTCTCTGTGTCGGTGTGTGGAGAGGGGTCTTGAATCAAAAGCCAGGCAGAGTACTGTTCAGTCAACAGAGAAAGGGAGGGTATTGTTACTCCAGAGCGGTGAGAGCGACGGAGTAAATAGGGAGAAAAGAGTAGGCTTCTCGTCGATTGTGTAGGGCATTGTCCGGGAAGACGGGGCGAAACTCCCTCCAGCTGGAGGGGGTCTGGGCGACAGAATAAGCCCTCTCTGAATGTGGGTTCTGCTTCTACTCAGATGGGGGGTGGGGGGAAGGCAGAGAAATGGAGGATGAAAAGCTGAAGAGAGAGTCAATCTCCAGGTCCAGAGGCCCCACCCTGCTCCTCCCGCCCCGTGCATCGTCGGAGGTCCCTCTACTGCGCTGTGCCTACAATGCGGTGCTCACCTGCGCAGGTAACAGGAGTGCCAGGAGCAGGAGCCCCAGACATAGTTTTGCCGCGATCGCTGTCCGCATGGCCGCTCCGTCTGTCGGTCTGGGCCCTCTCAGTGCGATGCAATACTATACAAATAGCTCCGCTCCGCGAGCGCGCTCTAAGTACTAAAGCGGTGTCTAGTTCCAGACCCAGGCGCGCTGGTGAACCTAGCGCATCGGGCTTTATATGCGAGGGGGGGGGGAAGACACAATAGCCGTGACGTGGCCTCTCTCGCTTATTCCCTCCCCTCCCCTCTCCCTTCCTCTCCCTCCCGCTTGCTCCTTTTTTTCTCTCCTACGTCCCGCCTCTTCTCCCCACCCCCTCCCCTTTTTTCTTTTCCCTCGGGCGGTCTAGAAGCCAGGCTAGCCCCTGGACCACACTCCTCAGCTCCTAAGTCTTGGTGCTCTCACCGCGCCTCCTCCCCTTCCCTTTTCCCCCGCCTCGGGGCCGAAGCTGCCTCCCGGTTAGTAGTCGGCTGCGGGCCCGCCTGGCATCTAGACTCCCGATTCCCTCCCTACCTGCCCTCCAGCCCGCGACCCTAGCCTTACAGCCAGAGCATTTCACAGATGTTTGTGTAGAAGCGAGCAGGCTTGGGACAGGCTCCCACAAGCTCCAAGGAGGCTCCCACAAGCTCCAAGGAGACTCCCACATACCCACCAGAGGGGAGAAAATGCAGAAACCACACACGCAGCTGTAGCGTTTGGACCAACTTTTCTTTGTTCCCCCGAATCTGTAGTTTCCTCCCCCATCCCTCCCCCCTCCACAAAGTTCCCATCATTTATCCATGAATTACTGACCCTTTCCTGCTATTCTAAACACTGGGTGAGAACTAACGCCTCAGTTTCCACTTATACATTTCTGGCTTTCAGAACGTTTGGGCTGGACTGGGACAGGGAGGGGGAGGGGCGAGGAACCGGGCTCCCACGTGAAAGAAATGCTCAAAGTGTTCTCTTTCCAGTTACATGCTCAGCGACGTTTGGAGCAGAATTCCTTACGATCCTCCAAACGTGGCTGCTAGTGAGCACGCTCTAGTGCTCTAAGGAGGCGTGGTTCTGATCAAATTTAATTTTTTTTCTTGTCCTTACCCTATCCCAACCTACTAGCTCCCCCAGCCTTTTCCTCTCTCTTTCTCTCCTTTCCATTGTTTTGTTTTCAATCAGGCAAACCAGGGGTCTGCAATTCCAGCTTCCAGAAACCTAGACAGTAGCAGGCTGGATTCAATGTGGATGCGGCTATGTAAGCTGGAAAAAGATGGGTTTCCGCTGCCTCACCTCAACCAGTGGCGGCTGCTACCACTAAATAATCCAAGTTAGAACGACAATATTTTAAAGTCCCTGCCTTCTTCTAACATAGCGCCGCATAAGGAACATTTGTGAGTGTAACAGTGAAATTAAATTTGAGAATGCTTTCAAAATGTGATTCCACCCCCCCCAAGTCCATATGTGCCATTAGGAATTTTAAAATTTGATCAGAATTGGTTAGTAATTATCATGCTGCTAAACCTTCCTAATTTAATTTTATATTCAGGGAGGGAAGGAAGGAAGGAGGAAGAAGGAAGGATATCCTCTTAGCAACATCTGCCCGAATATGGTAGATGGCACGGTGGTTACTGGAAAGGATACATAATCTAAGTTAAAATCCCATCTCTGCCACATGCTATGTAGCTGTGTGACTCTGGGCAAGTCGTTTCATCTCTGAATGAAATGCATCTGCAAACTGGGGGCTGAGAGTGGGGTGGGAATAAGGGAAGCCTCAACTAGATAACCTCTAAAGGCCTTTCAGCTCTAAAAATAAAAGACTATGAGATACAAAACTTAGTAATGTAGAGAAGCTAGCTTCTACATCCCTTCATCAAAAATTAAACATTTTCATGACTAGAGATGTACACATTGAGAATTTCTGTGGCTTAATGAGGAAATTATATAGATTATAGACTTAGAACTGAAAGGGACCTTAGAGGTTATGTAGTTTTAGCCCCATTCCCACACCCCATTTTGCGAATGTGGGACTTGAGGGACAGGTAATTGAAGAAACTAACTCAAGGTTAACTTAACAAAGTAGCAAAGCTAAGATTCAAATTGTGGGTTCTGACTCTAGATCCAGCATTTATGTCCACACCACACATTTTTTTAAAAATGACAACTATAAGTTCTCAGCATCATATCTGAACATCTAAATGTTTTATTTCAGCAACATCTTATTTTCTAGCAGCAATGCTGTTTTTATAACGGCTAAAGTGATTTCATAGTTTCAAATTTGTTTGATGGTGGGAGGGGTTGAGCAGTTTTTAGTAGCTCAATAACTTTCTGCCAGGTAAAATGTGCTTTAAAGACATAAACTTATGCTGTTTACAAGTCAAATTTCCTAACTAATAAACTCATCAACTGAATATACTATAATAAAGTTCAGTGTCAGGAGCCCATCACTACAGTTCCCTAATACAAACTCCAGGGAAGAGGTTGAAAAATGTGGCTTTATCATCCGGGAAAAACACTCCTAAGCTGTAGAAATGGTGCTGAACCCTCAGAGAACCATAATGGAGGACTTTAGGAATCTCCTTGTCTCCAGCTTAGTTTTAATTTAGCCAGGTACAAAGGTAGAAGGTGCTGCTGCCCTTGCAGCTGTCACCAGGTTCCCTCTTCAGAGGCCAGCTTAGATTATAGTTTGACTTTTATTAGCATTTAGGAGAAAGACAGAGGAAGGAAGGAAGGAAGGAAGGAAGGAAGGAAGGAAGAGGGAGAAGAAAGGAAAGAAGGAAGGAAGGAAGAGAAAGAACTGAACCATGAAAAATTTTTGAAAAGAAAGTTTTCCTGTTTTCTCTGGATGTGGCAGGTGTCCAACAAACATGCCTCATTTTCTTCTCAGATGTTTCTTGTCCTAGCCTATCCTCTTCTCACTTACCACCCACTTTTCTCTCCTCCAGTGCTTGAGGGTAGAAGGGAGTTGTTTGTTTTTCTCCCTTAGACCAGTAACATTCCATTGTAGAAATCTAAGAATTCTCAAGTTTCTTCCCCATTCTCCTATAGCCTCTTAGGACAAATTTCCAGTTTTCATTCTTATCAAAAGTCATTAAAATTTTTTGGTTTTTTGTTAAATGAGCTTGTGCTGATATATGCAGTGTAGTTTGCATATATAGCTAGAGATTAACTTCTCTGAGTATAGAGTTACTTTGTACAAGTTACTCAACTTCCTGGTGCTAATTTCTGAACTCATGAAACTGAAGAAGCAACCAACATAAATCAGCTTGACAGGGTTATAACTTAACAAAAACTAAATACAATTATTGTGATGTTGAGATATATATAAGTGCAATACCTATAAAAAGTCAAACCCATTAAAACTTGGCTTTTTTAAAAAAAAACCATATAATTGCTTAACATCATCACTTTCCTCAAAGTGATGTCACATAGCTAGTAGCACCACATTTGATTCTCATAACAATCCTCTTTTTATAGGCAAGGAAATTTAGGGCCAAAGGTAACTGGCCTCAGTTTCCACACCCAGGAAGTTCAGAGCTGGAGCTAAATAGAACCCAAGTGTCCTGACCAGCAGCCCAAGGCTTTTTCTCTGTCACTATGCATATTTAGACATTTGATAGATCAACTATTTCATGTGATATTCACAAAACAAAAGTTGACATGATTCAGTCCATAAAACTGGTGCTAATATCCAAATTTAAAAGGAGACACAGACTATGTGTATGGAGAGTTTACAAGGCTCTTTTATCCTATTTTGCTTTATATAATTATGAAAATACAGCCTAAAAAAGGTGAAGTCGTTTAATGGAAATAAATTGTGCCTTTATTGTTCAAAGGCAATACTCCATTAGTAAGGAAATTACAGTGAAATAAATAATGGTTCTTATTTCAGAGTGAAAGATGCAAGGAAGTAAATTATTTAGTGGATATTTATCTTTCACAACATGTACATTAAATAAAATAATTCAAAACAAGAGCAATGGATTTAGATTCAGAAGACCCAGATTCAAATCCCAGCTCCCACTGTGTGTAAGTCACTCTGGGACTCAACTTTTGCATCAAACAAGAGGATTGGATTACATGGTCTGTAAAGTCCCTTCTAAAAAAAGGGAAAAAAAAGTTACATGATAACTTTATTACATATTTAAAAGGAATAGCAAGTTGTACATAATAGATTTTCAGTTTTCACATACAATCATCTTTTTATGGAAATGCTTGTTTCATTCCATAAATTCAAAATAAAATAAATAAATGTGTGGAAAAAATTAAGTCGCATCTATGTCAAAGAGCATACAGATCCTTCTATGTTGTGCAGCAGAAAATTGATCAAGTTTCCTCACCTTTAAAATCAGGATAACAATCAGGATACTACCTTTCTCACCTGCCTTTTAGGAAGGAATTCCTTGGTTTGTAAACTGAAAAGTATTATTTAGGTGTCGGTTATTATAAGACATTGTTAACACAAACAATTGGCTACACTAGGGTGTGCACTGTTAAGAAAACTGGATTTTGGAGCCAGAAAAGTTTCATTTACCAGCTCTGTGAATCATTTGCATTAGTCATTTCTCTCAACATTTCCCAGCCTCAGTTTTGTCATCTACAAAACAGAAATAATAATATACTACCTGCCTTACAGGGTAACTTGGGGGGGGGGGAAATGGTTTCTTTGTAAAATGTAAAGTACTACATTATAGGAGCTATTACTGTAACCAAAAACTCAGTTCACATTGCCAACTAAAACATGATGTTTAAAAGTCCATTTCCTTTACCATATGGTCTTCTCTTATTTATGTCCACAATACATTTTTTTTTCTTTAATGTACTGAAGTGTTCTTGGCTAGCATTAAAAAATTGAATTTCTTTCTCTTGGTCTTCTGGCCAAAAGCCACTACTGTCCTGAGAACTCTATAGCATAGATGATTTTTAAAAGTTGATTTTCCATTTTTGACTAATGAGACTTTGTGTGGGGCTGTCTCTGTTTCCTTCTCTCTTTTTTTTCTTATCCCTTTCCCTCTCCCATTCTCTTCTCTTTCCTTCTCCCTTTCCTTTTCTCCCTTTCCCCCTCTCCCTCTCTCTCACCTTCCCCTGCTCACCCTCTCAATGAGGAGGTGCTGCTATCTGGTGGCCATTTTGAGCTGCTCAGTTATGACTGTGAAGGATGAAACCTAACTACCTTCTTTGTGGACTCTTAGAAGCCACAAGAGGATCCTGGGATTTGTGGCTGGTAAAAAAAAAAAAGCCCTTACAATTCTTTGATCTATTTTGTATTTTTGGACTTTGATTACTGCATAGTCATTTAGTTTATTGATGTCTTACAAATAAGAAAACTGATGTAAATGAAAGAAAGAATGAGGAGGACAGAATAATCACTATCCTCCAAATGCAAATTTCCTTCTTTTGCAACACAGGTTTTATTTGTGTTTTAAGGGGTAAGGAATAGAAAAGAAAGGAACTCTTCACCTCTATCTCTGGCTGATTCATCTAAGTTTACTTTCTAGACTTTCCCAGGCAAAATTGTGTAAAGAAGCCTCCAGTCCAACTCTACCTGTTGGGCAGAAATGCCCCCTGCCTTGTTCTTTGGGAGATCATTCCTCCCTTGTGTCCTTAAACATTCATACTGCCATTAGGACTGGGATTAGCATGATTACTCCTGCTATATTTTCAGGATATCAGTTTATCAATTTCCCCCATAAT